ACTCCCTCAAGAGTGACTTTGCATAAGGACGGACTCGCATGCCTCTTTATGAATTCGCAGAGCATCGGCCAAAACGGTTTTGCCGGTCCGCGTACCACACCTCGATCATACGACATGCCAGAGACACTTCTCCCGCAACCACTGTGATGTCAACCTGCCCAGGGTAACTAACACAAGAAAGCGTTAGAAACATAATACTTGGATAAAGGGTAGCAGCGGGGCGTGGACGTCATTAAACATCACTTGTATTTTTTTACTTTCAGTTCATATCGTTAGAATGGCGAGGAGGTCCGCCAAAAGTAAAGTAAAAAACGAAACTTGATCAAATGGACAACTTGGTACAACTCGTGCTTGTACTTATGTAGTAGCAAAACGGTCACGGGTGAAACCTATGCATATATTTTTATGACCTCTTCGTTTGACAGCCAAAAGCTGATGGAATTGCTTGAAACTCTAGGTTAGTGTCGCACGCGATCTCCTGCGAATGTTGGATCACTGGTGCCACGCGCTGCTTCGTCACAACTGCTCCGCTACGCCTTAGAGTGCTTGGTGAAGTCTGGCACCTTTAGCGCTACATCCTTTTCTGCCAATGCCTCCCTGCATCATTAATATGTTGAACTGGAAAGGTTGTTAACATTGCTTACGGTGCAACTTACCAATGAGCGATATAGTCGGAACCGATCCGTACTTTCGTCGACCTGAATACTGGTGTACGGGCTAGCGGCGATGTGCTTTTGTTGATCCATACACAAATATTTTGACACAGCCTCCAACATCTTGCCAAACCCATACCTGCACGTGCAACGAGTACACTTAGTCCTATGATGCATTTATTGAAGGAAATTATAGAACTTAAACACATTTACTCAGCTTCACTTTTAATCAAGCGAAATATTTGGAACCCCCCGCTCCGACATGAACTTGATGAATCCAATTGGGGCTTCTGACGTGCATGTGAATACAGTTGTCTTCATGGCGGTGATGAGGTGCAGCATGCTCCGATCGAGGCCTTCAAATCACTCAGAAGTGCCCGCCGTAACTTATGGCTCTCCTTTGACTTCACTATCCCGGTTGCATCTTTGTATGCTGTCGAGCGAAAAAGAGTTCTTATGCTCTGCTTCTGCATGTCACGCCCTCCTTCCCTGCCCATGCCGTACCCTCGACTCCATGCTCCGTGCAGGTGCTGCATTAAAGAACCAGCATGCCATCATCAGGGAAATAACGTCTTCTAGGAACTCTTGAACCATCAATGCACCCTTGTGAATGCAAGTTCCGGGACCTGGGCGAGCTCCTCCGCAGATGGACAATTGTCGTCTTCATCATCGTTGTCGATGTCCTCGACGATCACGGTGGAATTCGTATCTCGGGTTAAACTCATCTCCGGTTGGCGCCATTTCTGTCGAGCTGGAACGCCGTCGGGTTTCTTCTTCCCGGCTGACGACTCGTCAATGACATCCTCCGTTACATGTGTCGTGGGATCGTGTGGCACAAGGTCTGGCGTAGTATTGCCGACACCAGGGGACTATTCATTTCCCAAGGTGTTGGTGCTGGAGGGCGCTGGTTCTGACACTCCTATAGCTGGGGGTGCTGGCAGTAGAGGTGCTAGTTCTGGGGATGCTAGAGCTCGAGGTGCTGACACTAAAGGTGCTAAATCTGGGGGTGTTCAAGCTGGAGGTGCTAACACAGGAGGTGCTAGCTCGGGGAGTGCTGGAGCTGGAGGTGCTGGCACTTGAGGTGTTAGTTTTGGGGGTGCTGAAGCTGGAGGTGCTAGTTTCGGGGGTGCTGGAGTTGTAGGTGCTGGCACTGGAGGTGCTAGTTTTTAGCGGGTTGGAGTTGGAGGCACTGCTATTGCACCACCGACTCCACCTCCCCACCCACTACCCGGCGCGTCACCAGGCTCTTTGTCGGCTTGAGCGCGAGGAGCAGGAGAGGTTGGCAAAGGAGAGGCTGGAGCTGGAGTAGTAGCAGCAGGAGCTGCAATGGTAGGGGTTGGAGCAGCAACTACAGCAGCAGCAGCAGATGCCACATCCGTCACTTATGCAGCAGTTGTTCCCGCATTTGAGTGGCCTCCGGGCCCTTGCTCTCCCTTCCTCCCCTCCAGACCGCTCACTGCCTCCTAGTGCACACGGTCTTTCTCCTCCGGACTCGTCCCCTGCTATTTTCCCTCCTCCTCAGTCATAGTCGCCTCTTCCTGTCCCGCAAACTTGGGCCACTCGTTGTCCTCCTCGTGCTCGTCCCTCCTCCCCATTTACCTACCTCTGCTCTGTCTTACTTTGTTCTAGTCCTCCTCATTCTCTGCCTCAGTTTGTTCTCCCGTCATCTCCTCAGTCATCCCTTGCAGCCTCCCTCACCCAATCACTGACTACTGCAGCACGTCTCGTCCTGTTCTCTTACGGCTCGTCCTGTTCGCATACGTCTTCATGCCTCTCTTGTCATGGACTCTTGTGCCTCTCTGTCGCCTGTCTAGGCTCTTACAGCCGATGTCGCTAACTTTGCCGCCACCAGTCTCCTTGACTACGTCGCCCAGGTGGTCGCTGGCCATCCTCTGTCCGCCAGGGGTGAGTCTGCCCGTGGTGGTGACTTCCTAGAGGAGACGCAATTTGAGTTGGAGTTCCTGGCAGCTGCTTCTCCCCATCTCTATGCCATGTTGCTAGCTCCTGAGAGAGACCCTGACGCCCTTGACCTACCAACTCCTCCCACTCATGCCGAGGCAGTGTCAGGGCCATGGGCCTCTTGGTGGATAGCGGCCATGGAAACAGAGATGGTGACTTGGAGATTCACAGGCACGAAAGTCGATGCAGTTCCCCCTCCTAGAGCGAACATAGTCGATGGCTTTTGGATTTTTAAGGTGAAGCGACCGCCTGGATCGGCGCCTGTCTTCAAGGCGTGCTACGTGGCTAGGGGCTTCAGATAGTGTGAGGGAGTTGACTTCTTCGAGACCTTCGCTCCGACCCCAAAGATGACTACTCTTCAAGTGTTACTTCACGCTGCAGCTCAGCGGGACTATAAGCTGCACACATTGGACTTCTCCATTGCCTTTCTCTAGGGCCGTCTGCACAAGGAAATCTAGCTGCGCCGTCCTCTAGCTGCACGCATTTTCCCAACTGAGACCCGGTGGAGCCTGAGAAAGACCATTGTATGGTCTCTACCAGGTGCTTCGGGAGTGGCACGACATTCTACGGTCCACTGCCTTCATACCTTCTACTGCTGACCTTGGTTCATACCTTCTACTGCCGACCCGTCGCTATTCGTTAGTTTTGAGCCCGCACCTTTCTTCGTCTTTGTTTGTATCGACGCCTTGGTTTTCATTGAAAAAGAGACAAACATGCACTTACCTTGGTGAACTGCGCTGCTACCTTGGCTTGAAGAACACCACGGACAGAGCCGTTCGCACCATCACACTCAGTTACACATGGTGCGGAAGGTCCTGTAGCGGTTCGGGCTTCAATTCTCCACCACACAGCCCACCCCTCTTGTCGTTGACCACAAGCTCATCGTTCCTGTTCTTGCAGGCCCTTTGAGTCTAATGGTCCCTACACGGAGCTCGTGGGTTGCCTCATGTACCTGATGACCTGTATTCGTCCGGACCTCACATTTCCTCTCAAAATCCTGGCTCGCTTTGTTGCTATTGGGAGATAGTGTCATGTTCACTGGGCGGCCGTTGTGAGGGTAGCAACCACATCAAGCATGGAGCTTGTGCTTAGAGGGATACTGCCAGTTGAAATGACCGGCCATTGCGACCCTTTCTACGCCGACGACGTGGAGACCTCCAGGTCAACTCAGGGAAACTACTTCAGCTTGTGCTCTGGTGTTGTGTCGTGGAGGTCTACTCGGTTATCGTCTTTGGCGCAGTCTAGCGCTGAGGCCATGGCTGCTCAGGAACTTCGCTGGTTGACCTTCTTGCTCACCGACCATGGTGAGTGGCCGAGCTCTGCACCGACCTTGTTCGCTGACAACAAGGCCATGATCCTCCTGTGTCAATAGCCTCGACTGGAAGGAAGAGTGACGCACATCGACGTGAGGTACTTTCTACTACAAAACTGCAGCGGCGCGGCCATACACACTTAGATTATGTGGCCCCAATGACCAGTACTGCACAGGTTCTGTTTGCAGCTCAGCCTTATAGAGGCATGCCCTCGGTTGCTATAGTTTTGCCTCTTGTTTCTTGCTCTGTTTGTATTTGTATGTGTGTGTGTGTGTGTATGTGTGTGTGTGTGTGTATGTGTGTGTGTGTGTGTTTGTGTGTGTGTGTGTGTGTGTGTATGTGTGTGCGTGTGTGTATGTGGGTGTGTGTGTGTGTGTGTGGGTGTGGCTGTATGTGTGCGTGCGTGCGTGCGTGCGTACGTGCGTGCGTGTGTGTGTGTGTGTGTGTGTGTGTGTGTGTGTGTGTGTGTGTGTGTGTGTGTGTGTGTGTGTGTGTGTGTGTGTGTGTGTGATGGTCTCTTGCTTGTGCTGAGGCTGAGTGGTGACTTTCTGATACGGTATACTCTGAGTTTTGCGTTGTCGCTTCTCTTGACTGGTCTTCTGACCATTTGTTTTCCCTTGTTTTTTTTTCCCTCACTTAGCCTATGGGGATGTGTCAAATGTTACCGTATACATTATCATGATAGGCTGTAGCGAATAGCACTGTAGGTAGTACAGCAGTTTCTAGGGTTCGTAGTTGTATCACCCATCTTGCTAGTCAACTCATTCCGCAGTCCGTTTTTTTAGACTACACTCCTGGGAAACTGATTGGTCAGATCATGACAGAGAAAGAGAACCTGCCCATAAAATAAGAATCGCCTCGTTACATCCCAACACCAGATTCAGATTCTCTAGCAACGGAAATTGACGAGTGGTTGGTAACTAACTAGGGAATTAAAAAACTCAAGTCCGTAGAGTGATACTGCCTCAACAGATATTAGAAGCTAATCCCATGTATGATTCAAGTGCTGGCCTCCGTTGGAGTGGCACTGCACCGAACGGCAGTCAACCCCGTGCTCACAGTAGCACCTTTCGCCTCACAGTAGCACGTTGCCTCCCCACCTTGCCTCCCCACCTTGCCCACTCACCTTGCCAACCGCCTTGCCCCTACTGCCGCTGCCATCCTTGCTCTCATCCTTCCCACTCGTCTTCCCGCTGCTCCTGCCGGGGCAGGTGAGCTTGTGGGAGGGCCAGTGCGCATTTTGGCACTCTCTGCTGCAATACGCCACCTTGCCACACCCAGAGCAGTTCTTCAACTTCACACCACCACCCTCCACCTTTCCACACCCCACATCACTGCACCCACGACGCCTGCTGGAAGGGGCAGCAGGGGAGGCAGGGCGGTAGCACGGCTCCCCCAGCAGCATCTCTCGCAGACATGCCACCAGATTGACTCCCCCTGGCCATGCCTTCAAATAAGCCGGATCCCCCCCCTTCTTCCGCTTGCTGAAACTACCTACCCCACCCCCGCGTTTCATGTCTTGATGGAAGGTGGGCAGCAGAGAGCGTTGGTAAGCTCTGTGGTCGCGTCCACTCGTGCTCTCACATCCTCCTCCCTTGCCTGCTTGCCACCACAGGCCACCCCGCCTCCCCCCGTGCCAGAGGCGGGCAGCATTGCCACCATGAACCACGACTGCACCTCCTCCCACACCACCCCACTATCTCCTCCAACATCTCCCCCCTCGCTGCCCTTCTCTCCTTCCCCACGATCCCCACTCCCAGCCCTCCTCCCGCCCGCCTTCTCTTTAGCCCCAGAGGTCCCCCCTTCAGCCCTCGAAATCTGCCCGCCTTCTGTCCCGCTCTGTTGCAGGAGAGGGGCGGCGCAGAACAGCGCCAGGCTGAGCAGAAAGGCAACCGGCACCTGCTCCACCCGCTCCCGCAATGCATGCACGCTGCTGCTGCTGCTGCTGCTGCTGTTGGTAGTGGTGGTGGTGGTGCTGCGTTTGCCAGAGAGGCTGTCGTGAGGAACGGTTGAGGAGGATTCCAGCCCCAGGCGGGCGAGAAGTCTCTGAAACACCTCAGAGTGCGGCTTGTAGACAGAGAGGAAGCGGTCGAGGAGGAGAGCGACGGGGCGATAGGCGAAATTGGCAATGACAGCGACGAAAGGGACGTGGGAGATGTGCAGGGTGATGCACGTGCTGCAATCGGCGCATGCTGGTGCCTCCTGGAACAAGCCAGCAAACTCCACCATCAGCTCCGCATCTGCTCTGCAACGCACAATCGGACGGGACTCTCCATTCTGCCGCGGCAGCACTTTTTTGGTGAGAGCTTCCGGAAAGCTTCCATGCTTCGCTTCCTCAAGCCCGCTGTTCGTGTGACTGCCATCAGCCCTGCCCAGCCCGAAACATCTGGCACTGGAGTCCTCAGGAAACTTCATAGCAGCTTCATCTCCCTCGGGCCACTCCTCCTACTCCAGGAGGCAGATGCTTCTGTCCAATGGCGGGAGAACAGCGCCGAACCGGACCAGCAAGCTCGGAAGATTCTGAAGCGGGTGGCGCATGGGCAGGACCTTTCCATGTGGACTATCCCTGAAGCAGTTGTTGGCGGAAATCAAATCCGAGCCGTAGATTCGAAGCCACTGCAAGATGGCAGCACCCCGATACGTGAGCAGCCCAATGGTGGGGTCTGTGTTGACAGGCATGAGGCCACGACTGAGCATCCCACTACTGCTGCTCATGCTGCTACTTCCACTCATACCAACACTGGGAGCTGGTCGCCCTTCCGCCGGTGCACCTGATGCTGTTGCCTCCACTCTTCCTCCAGTTGCCCCTCCCTCGTTCTCCTCGTTCCCCTCTTTCCCTAGCTTCCCACTTGTCAGCATCCGCTGTCCCAGCCTCGCCCTGGCAACCTCGATGGCTGCATCCTGCCCAGTGCTGCTGGATGCGCGCTGAGACGCGGCAAAGAACATGCCTCCCAGCTTGCGATGCTCTGGCATGGAGAACAACGACGCCACTGCAACAGCAAAGTCAGTGGCGCCCACGCCACTCACATACATGCCCTTGGGAATATCCCTGCCCGCCACATTCATGCTGTTTCTGCCACCACCGCCGCCGCCGCCGCCGTCGCTGCTGCTGCTGATGCCCCCCTCACTGCAGTGGCTGCACCTAAACTCCCTCCCTTCCCCCCCTCCATGCTCCAGAATCCATGCCATGCCATCCACATACCTCTCCCACTCACGCCCCTTCAGATTCTCCCTCCACGTCTCACCCTGCAGATCACCACCACCCACCCCGCCCTTTCCACTGCGCCCACCACCACCAATCCCAGGAGGCACACCCATCCCCATGCTGCCCGCATCATCACCCCCGAGCATCGCCATCAGCTGTGCCATGTCAACGCCATACTCATGCATGATGTGCAGCGTGCCAGTCATCCGGGCCCATGCATGCCCCACTCTGCATGCTCTGCATCACAGCAGCCATGGCTTCCCCCACCTTCCCCATTTGCCCCGGCTGCCACATCCGCCCCATCTGTCCCATCAGCCCCGCACTCATCGGACCCGTCTTCTCACCTCCCCCACCCCTCTTCCCCTCCGCCTTCTCACCAGTCTTCTCCCGACGCTCCCCCTTCCCCCTCCCCTCTGCATGCCCCTTCTCCAGCCTGCCTGACAGCACATGCTGCACAAAGAATCCAAACCCTTCCTGCAAATCAGCGCTCTACTTTACCCCCAGCACCTGCACCAGCACGGAAGCAGCACTGTCCTCCTCCCCCTGCCGGCCCGCCCCCAGTTGGGCTGCTAGAGCGGGGTAGAGGGCATCATAGACATCAACGTGCACCTTCCATAGGGTGTCCATTCGAGGCCACCTCGCCACCAGCACGAGGAACACAACGAAGCTCACAGCACGGTGGTAGGCAGCCCAGCAGCCGCTGCAGCGCCAGCAGAAGGACCACGCTGCTGCAGCAGAAGCAGCAGCAGCAGCAAAAGATGCAGCAGAGGAATCCCCAAGAGAGCCTTCATTGGCGAGGATGGCAGGCAGGCGGGATCTAGGTCCATGAGCACGCCCACACGAGGCTCAGCCATCCAGTCAAGCAGCATGGCTTCCACACACACGAACGGCGCACGCGGCTCACTTGCAGGAGAACTGCGCACGCGGCTCCAACTCCCCTTGCTCTCCAAACGCCTGCACTCTCAACGCACATTCCAGGATACTGTCCCGGCATGGCACAAGGGGGGTGGCGTCAGGCGGTTGTTTGGTGAGGAGGGATCGCACGAAGTCAAGGCTGGGCATGGTGACAGCACGCTCTGCTCCCAGGCTGACCGCGCGGTCAAAGCAGCACGCGCACTCCTTCAGATCCCACCCGCCCCTCACGTACAGAAAGTGAACCATTTCGGTTCGACCAAGCAGCTGAAGCTTCCTGGGTGTTTCCTGACCTGTCGCTTTCCCTGAACCCCCAGCTTCCTGTGCAGATGCCTTGTGGGGTGCATCATCTGCGTGCTCTGGGAACCTCCACTGTCTCATCAGCTCGTGGCAATGGCTCCAGATGGACTGCTTTAGTTCAGCAAGGCCGCCCCCACAGGCTCCTCCAGAATGAAGGGTCCTTTCCCTTGTTCCAGCGCCTCTTCCTGATGGGCCTCGCTTCAGCTTCATGTGATGCTCCTTCTCCCCTTCCTCCTCCTTGTCTTCATCGCTGCTGGATCCCATGTGCTCCCACTTGCTGTAGTCGATTCCACGCGGCCTGGCGACGGCAGTGGCAGCAGCAGCAGGAAAAAGAGCAGCAGCGGGAGCAGAAGGTGAAGAAGCACCAGCAACAGTGGGATGCTTGTTCCCAGCAGGCACAGCAGCATGCGCACTCACACCTTCTTCACCTCCCTTGCCCTTCCCCTCTCTACCCCCATGAGCACTCTAATGATGGAACCGGGAAAAAAAGAAATTTACTTTTGAACATACCAAAGTGAAGCCCTGAATTAGGCGAATTCAACCGACCATGCACCAAGTGGGATCGTGCATGGTTTTCAGGCAAAAACAGTTGCGGTACGGTTTCTCACAGCACAGTGGTGTCTAGAACCATCGAACGTGACAGTAGTGATGGGGATGTTGCCGTGCGGCCCAATCACAACCGCATGCGCTGCGTGGCATGTGCAATTCTTCTGAACCCTCTCGAAGGGTGTGAAAGATGAGGAGATAAACTCTACAATGGTGGAAGCTAGACTACAGGGTGGGCACTGGTTGTAGGAGTGATCGTAGCTCTGTCTATGTTCTCTAGGACTTGTGTTTTCACAGGGCAAAACAGAAAGAGTTTCACTAAAGAAAGTTGAGAATGACAGAGTTCAGAATGTTAACAAGCAATGGCAAAGATTGAATACATCACATGCAAGGTTTGCTAGTGCTCAAGCAGGTCGACTGCCAGCGTGACAGAGTTGTCAACCTGCCAACGAAGCAAGTCCGCGGTCTGCCAACGCAGCTCGTACGCGACTTGCCAATGCTGCACATGGCGGCCTGCCAACGCTGCACCCGCGCGGCTTGCCAATGCAACATCCGCGCGGCTTGTCAACATTGCATCCGCAGGTGATTGTAAGCGCATGTGCAAGCACCTACTTCGCAGGTGCTTGTAGACAGTTGTGCACGACATGCACTGTCACACACATAGCGCAGGTTGTTCGCCACATGCTGACGGTTGCACATGATGAGCCACGTCGACCACGTGCTGCCACGTCGGTCGACTTCGCCACAGCAGCCTCGACGATGTTCGCACACCTTCGTGCACTCGTCGAGCAGGTAACTTGGTCAACCAGACGAATTCCCTGACATCTCTGCATGATGATGACCTTCGTCATCACCGTTTGATGACCTTCGTCGTCGCGAGTTGACGACCTTCGTCGTCGCTGCTCGACGACCTTCGTCGAGCACCTTCGTTGAGCACCTCGGTTGACATTTCAAAATGTCAGCCCCTGATTGATCGAAATTAGGGCACATTCGAATTTCTGGCCAAAATTCGCCTGTGCAGTCTGAAGGTTGCGCAGTGTCAGACGCGACCCTGCGCAGACGAACACATGCGAACTTCTGCACCAGTTGCGCCACTCTGGTCGACGAACTGCTTCGTCGACCATCCTCGTTGAACTCCTTCGTCGAACTCTTTCGTTGACGAAGTCACACTGGTTCCGCGCAGGTCGACGACCACCTTCGTCGGCCTCTGCGGAAGGTCGGTTGCACCTCCCACGCACCCAACCACAAATTCAATTTGCCCATGCGAGGGCGGGGCCAATTTCCTTCAACACTCCCCTGCCGCGCTCACGCTTGGGCACCCCACGCACAAGGTCCACCCAAAACCCAAGGGATAGTATACACTGGGAAAATCCTTCGTCAGCGTGCACACAACACACAGCACGCCGGTCACCGCACCAGCCGTGCAGAAGGGCACGGCACCTACTGCTGCACATCGTCGTCACCGTCGCCAACGTCAGCCAGACGAACTTGGCCGATCGCGACGGAGCACCGGTTGAAGGCCGGAAAGTGCAGCCCCTTCGTCAGGAAGTCAGCTGGCTGCTCAGAGGTGGGGATGTACTTCAACGCAATCTTCCCACGCTTCACCATCTGCTGCAGCCAAGCATAACGTGGCTCCATGTGCTTGAGGTTGCCCTTTAGCCCCAAGCCTTCCGCGACAGTAATGGCCGACTGGTTGTTCACACGAAGGACAGTCGGCATCCCAGGGTCTAGCAGCTTGAACTCTGCAAGGAGGAAGCGAAGTCGACGAGCCTCCTTGCCAGCTTCCGTGGCCGCGACATACTCCGACTCGGTCGAGGAGAGCGTCGCACACTTGATGCACTGGCTCGACCAGGAAACTGCGGCCCCTCCGAAGACGAACACATAGCCACCTGTGCTCGTCCGGTTCTGCTTGTCGCCCGCGTCGTCAGCGTCCACGTAGCCGACCACGCACAGTGACTCTGGTCCACTACCAAACTCCAAAGCGGTGTCACGGGTGTCGGCGAGGTAGTGCAGGCAGCGGTCGACCTCGCGCCAGTGGTTATCACTCCGCACCGTCAGGCCGCTTCTCAGCTTGCTGCACGCGAACGCGGTGTCTGGCCTCGTCGTCGTCGCCGCGAACTTCAGCGAGCCAACCTTCTGCCTGTACTCTTCCTCCTCGCGCGCTTGAGCAACCTCGTCATCGAATGTCAGCTCCGCATAGGCGTCGACGGGGACCGGCGTCTTCGGGATGCGCCCGGTCTGCTCTTCGTCGATGAAACGCCTGCGGAGCTTGTCGACGTACAACTGCTGGTGCAGCCATAGCTTCCTTGCCGACCTGTCGCGAACGATTTCCAGCCCAAGGTACCTCTCGATCGGGCTGATCTCGCGCAGCTCAAAGGCAGCCTCCAGGAGCTCCTTCAGCTCCTTCAGCATCGCAAGGCTGCTGCTGGCGGCGAGTAGGTCGTCGACGTAGACAAGCACCTAGCACATCACTCCTCCGTCACTGGCCTTGCAGTAGAGAGCCTCGTCGACCTGGCTCTTCTTCCAGCCAGCGCCCAGCAGCACTCCGTCGAGGGCCCTGTACCACAGCAGTGGTGACTGTTTCAATCCGTAGAGGCTTTTCAACAGCTTGCACACTCGGCCAGTTCCATCGTCATAGTAGTCTGGCTGGTACATGTACAACACCCTGTCCAGCTTACTCTACAGGAATGCATTCTTCATGTCAAGCTACATCAGGTGCAAGTTGCGGACAGCGACGATGCTGAGGAAGATCCTCAGCGTGACGTAGCTGCTGACCGGTGCGTACGTCTCTTCGTAGTCGGCGCCGTACAACTGCGTGAAGCCCTTCATGACTAAACGTACCTTCTCACGAGTGACCGTATCATCGATGTGATACTTCGTCGTCAGCACCCACCGATTCTTCATGATGTTCACCTCGCGCGGACGTTCAACCAGCTCCCATGTGCCGTTGGCGATGAGGCTGCGAATCTCCTCGTCCATCGCCGCCTTCACCGCCTTGCCTTTCCAGCTCGCCTCCTTCACTGTCATCGTCGCGATGTCCCAGCGATGCTCTGGGTCAGCGTGCACGTCAGGGTCGAGCTCGGGCAGGTCGACGTCGTCCTGCGCATCGTCGAGCAACGTGCTGTAGGAGGTGGGGGGCAAGCAAGCATGGTAGCTCACCTTCTCGCGAGGCTTGCCAAAGTTGACACGAGTGGAACATCGCAGCGGAGGCTCATAGGCTTTGACTTCCACCACATCGCTGTCAGTGGACTGCTCCCCTGCAGACAGCTCCCCTTCATCGTCATCAGGGTCACCAATGACCTCCACAACGTCACTCGACGAACCATCGTCGAACTGCTCCCCTGTCGGCGGTTCCTCTGCAGACGCTTCCTTCGTCAATGGCTCCCCTGTCAGCTGCATCTTTTCCACCCGCAGCTCCCCTGCCGTCGAAGGCTTCGCACCCTCGTCGACAAGCTTGACATTATGTCGGCCGCTGGCGATGCCCCTGGACGGCGCCACAGGCAACGTCCGCAGGCTCCCCTCGTCGCCAGTGGCTGACGAAGGTGTCTGCTCAGGCAAGTCGGCGACAACAGGTGGTGCAGTAGGAACAGGAGGAGGAGGAGTAGGATGGACCTCCTCGACATCCTCGTCAGCAGCCTCGTCGATCTCGGCGAGCAGTGGGAACGTCGCCGTCGAGGAGTCAGTCGGAGAGTGGGTCTGCGTCCGTGCCGACGCTGGCCCATGCCTCACCTTCCACACCTCCAGAGACATCGTTTCGTAGAAGATAACCTCGGCCGTTGTGACAAGCTTGGTGTCAGTCAGGTCGAGCACTTCCCATCCCTTGCTCTCCGGTGACACACCCAGGTGTAGCCCCCAACGAGCCTTCGACGCCAGCTTCCCACCACGCTGCTGCTCAGGGACCATAAACTGCACCATGCAGCCCTACACCCTTGCCAGTGTTAGAGATTAAGGACGGAGTCTATGAAGATTAGGGGCTGAAATATCTCAAAATCGTCAACTACAATTCTGGACAGAAAAGTCGTCGTCACAAGAAACGTCGTCGACGAAAGGTCCACTGTTAGAATTCTTTCAAACTCGAGTATGTTGTAGCCCTTGACCGTGGCTATCTTTCCCAATTTGAATAGTATCAGAATATGGAGTATAACTCGAGTTATGAACTTCGGCGCACTAGGGGGTATGCTGCCATAGAAAACGTAACTCAATCACAATGATCTCACAAGTTCACACAAGAAAGTTAGAGTAGCAATAGAACCAGGTAGGAGGGGATGAGGAGGACGAGAGGGAAGGTCCCAAGAGAGTCCCCAACCAAGGAAACCCCATGCCATACAATTCCCTTCCCCATAGGCAACCCAACTTTGACCTTTGTCACTATCCCAACCTCCACAATCCACCTCAACCCAACTTGGCCACACTTGCCAACCTGGTTTGGTTTCTCCCAACCATTTGGCAGCAACTACAGTAGAAAAGACGAATTTCCCAACCCCCAAAAGTCTGTACCCCATATTGAGTCAACCCCACAACTTCCCATAGTCACCACAACCAAATATCAAAAGCATACGAACTCCAACGTTCGTAACTTTCTTGTTCGTGCTCCGATTGAAGCGATACTTGGTTCCTCGGAAAGCTCTTGAGCAGAGGAGTCACTTCAGATATCTGCTCAAGCCAAATAACATTCACACACACACTCAGAAAAACCAAACCGCACAAAACACAAATTC